AACAACAGCAGCAGCAACAACAACAAAAACAACAAAAAAACAACAACAACAACAACAACAACTGCAGCCCCGTCAACCCATATATGATCCCGGTTCTCGGTTCGCCGACCCCCCCCCCCAATGGTATCCCCCCCCCCCACCCCCCCCCCACCCACTCCCCAAGCCGAATCTGTGTGACTGCGCACACTTTTTGCACATGCGGGCCCCAAAACCGTCATCTGTCACGAGGATCGCGCCCCAAAGACGCCGGATCCGTGTGAGGCCGCCAAAACCGCCAACTGTCACGAGGACTGCGATCCCTGACAGGCCCAATCCCTTTGACAGTTGGCCGATTGCAACCTTTTGGCAATTGCCCCCAGAGCGACAACTGCCACGAAGATAGTGGCCCTACGATCAACAAAGCGATAATCAGTACCAGGCACGTGGGCAGAAGACACCCGACGACAAACCAATCAAACATTAAGATGCTTGAGTGAATGATGATGGTGATCATCGTCCCCATCATCATCATTATTATCATCATAGGGATGAGTATACCAAACACCCAAGGCAAACCTACAAACCTAAAAAAACGCAGGGGCACACCATTCCACAGGGGGGAAGGGGGGAACCACCCCAACCAGACCCACCCCCGCCCACACCACACCACACCACACCACAGGGAGGGGGAAGCAACCCACCACCACACCACACCACACCACACCACACCACATTGGGGGGGGGGGGGGGGGAGGGTGAGATTAACCCGCTTTACAACCAGAATCCCTACTTTACAACCAGAATCCCCACTTTACAACCACAGACACTGTTTTCCATGTGAGACTCCCCACTTTACAACTGCCGATCGTGAGAACGCCCACTTTGCAACCCGTCTACCCATGATTAAGACTTATTGGGATTTCATGAGTTTTTTACAACAAACCTACCTAGATTCCTAATAGTTTGTTGGTTCTTTGACCCCCTATAGTGTTGTACGTGGCCTTCATCCGACCGTGGCCCCAAACTACTAAGATCTCGAACATCCCTCAAATTGCTTCGTCGCATGATATCGTTGATCTTTGTCGTCTGTGGGTGCCATGTTTTATGTATGCTTTCCTCAATACAAGCACACAAAAAAGGAAAATCATTTTTTGAAAGTACTTGTATGGCGTAAAACCGTAAATACAACATCAAATGTAGTAAAATGTTCGGGTTCATGTATTGGCTTTAATATAAATATACATATATATATATATATATATATCGCTCTGGTGAGAAAAGAATCCGTTTCTAAAACTAATGTTTTCTTTCTGCTTTCCCCAATACAAACACACTCAGTCCGAGTTTGCCTGCAGGGAGTGAGTTGGATACAGCTTGACGGCCGCAAGTGCGTAAAGTGCAAACCACTATGCAACAACACGCTCGCTGAGGTGAGCATCTAAACAGTATCATCGATACCAAACCCTCACGCATCTAAATATATATATATATATATATGTACATATCTATCGTGGTTTCGGGTTAAGAACGCCCACATTGCAACCAACATCACTTTCCAACCTGCATGGCTGCCGTAAAGGATGATGCTAGAGATTCTAGGCTTTAACGTTATCAGTTAATAGGGTTGTTAAGAAGCTTTCCCAACCGGTTGCAAAGTGGGGATTCCGGAAAGGCTCATGGGTTGTAAAGTGGGGGTTCTGGTTGTAAAGTGGGGATTCTGGTTGTAAAGCGGGGTACATGCGGGGGAGGGGGGGGGGACGGCCGCACCGGGATCATATATCTGCTTTTTGTCTGTGCATTAGGTAGAGACAAAAACAGGAGCCCCGTCATGTTGTTTTACCCCGCCCCTCCCCAACAACAACAACACATGGATGCCTGTGCTGTCTACTGTTTGGTGTGTATGTTCAATGGACTTCGTGTGTATTTCAATGGATTTCGTGTGTATTTCAATGGATTTCGTGTGTATTTCAGCGGATTTAGTGTGTATTTCAGTGGATTTAGTGTGTATGTCAGTGGATTTCGTGCGTTTTTTTTTGTGGATTTTGTGTGTAGGTCAATGGATTTCGTGTGTATGTTCAATGGATTTGGTGTGTATTTCAGTGGATTTCGTGTGTATTTGGTGTGTATTTCAGTGGATTTGGTGTATATTTCAGTGGATTTAATGTGTATTTCAGTGGATTTGGTGTGTATTTCAATGATTTTGGTGTGTATTTCAATGGATTTCGTGTGTATTTGGTGTGTATTTCAGTGGATTTGGTGTGCATTTCAATGATTTTGGTGTATTTTCACTGGATTTGGTGTGTATTTCAGTTGCCAGCTGTGCAGATTATGCATTTGCGAGGCCTGTACAAGCTACTGTATAGTAACTGGAAAGACAAGCCCTTCCAACACCCATCAGAACCCCTTCTGGATATCGCAGATTCCTATACCTGTGGTGGAAATGTGGTGTAATGTGGGCGGTTGTTGTAAAGGGGGGGGGTCAAAACAACAGACGGGGCTCCAGTTTTTGCCTCTACTACAGGGGGTAGAGACAAAGTCCTGATTTCGCTGGTGCCTTTGTCTCTACCCCCTGTAGTAGAGGCAAAAACTGTGTTGTTTTGACCCCCCCCTTTTACAACAACCACCCTGCCTACACGCGTTTCTATCATGGGGCAGCTGCTGTGTAAACCATTGCTTGCACTTCCCAAAACTCTACAAGCACCCTATGCGGTCACCGGAAGCATTCCCAATTGCTTCTAATTAGCAACAAGTACGGGCTGCTGTTTTTGTCTGTACCAACAACAACAACAACGAGCCGGGCTGCTCGTCCGCTGCACTGGGCTCTGCAAGTGGCTCCTGCAGGTCAGAGAGGGATCTTTTTTTGAAGGCCTTTTTTGGAGGGATCTAGGTTGAGGGGTTCTTTATGCAGGAACTACTGCTCAACATGGTGAAAGGGTCACATGGTTGATGTCAAATAGGATGTGCAAGGCACACGGCCTACAAACCGAGAGAGAGGGAGAGAGAGAGAGAGAGAGAGAGAGGGCGAGAGACAGAGCACCCTAAGCAGCAGGATGCTGCCCGGTAGGTTCTTTAAATGCACACCGAAAACTCTGGTACATTGTGTCTCAAAGCTCGAACCAGGAGCGCATCTGTGGCAAGGGACTGTGGCAACTTGTCTTCTGACTTGGATGCACTGCCGATTGTCATGGTGAGCACGAGGTGCCACTCTGTACTTTAAGCACAGAATCCATCTGAGTCTTGGCTGTCCATGCTGTGATGGAAGCCAGGACGACGAAAGATCGCAGTGATATCACAAGGCAAGATGAGAAATAGAAGATATCAAAACCACTAACAAATCGGGAGTGTGACGGAATGACCTGTTCGAACCACAATTTACACACAAGCAGGGGTACCTCAAGCACCACAGGCTAAGAAAAGCTTTCTGCACTGTGGCAGAAGCGGTGAGCGGTGTTAAGTTATGATCGCAGCGAGCATAGTCAACTCGAGCAGCTCTCTGTGCCGGAGTCGAGGCGAATGCCGCACCTTGCCCCAAATCCTAGATCGGGAGGTTCTCAGACGGGTCGAACTGTACACCGCAGGCCATGTTGGCTGGCACGGCGATGTCAATCTGCTTCGGGTTCGGCAGGTTCAGGTCCTCCATGAACTTGGCAAAATCCTCTGGAGACTTGGTCAGGCGAGGGTTGAGCATCTTCTCCTGCAGCACCGTCGACACTCCTCTGTCCTTGTAGTCATGGCCTGGACAGACAAGGGTATCATCTGGCAGAGTGAAAATCTGCTTGTGAACGCTGTCATGAAGAGTTAAGGAGTTGCCTTGCTGGAAGTCTGTCCTGCCACAGCCACGAATCAGAAGGGTGTCACCGGTGAAGGCAAACGTGGCCGTGCGGGTCTTCAACACATATGTCACGCAGCCATCGGTGTGGCCCGGAGTGGCACGAACCTCCAGAGAAAGGTCGCCGAAAATTACGTTGTCACCGTGCTGCACGTGGATGTCTGCTTGCGCCCCAGAGTTCTTGGAGATGATGGTCTGAACATGTGGGGAATCCTTGCGGATCGCGCCACCGGAAGTCACATGGTCTGCATGGCAGTGCGTGTTCAGCACGTACTTTAAGTGCAAGCCCAGCTCAGTCATGGCCTTCAGATCACGATCCTTGTGCTCCAAAACCGGGTCGATCAGCACAGCTTGCTTGCTAGCTGGACAGGCAATTAGGTATGTCAAGGTGCTGGACACGGGATCGAAGAACTGCCTCACCTCGGGGCTGTGCTGAATCAGCGGGCCATCTCTTTGCCCCAGCGAGGGCAATCTCGACTGGAGCCAAGCTTTGGCCTCGGGTCTCACGGTGTCGATCTGGAGATCTTCGACCAAGAGGTCTATGCAGCCTGGCGTGTAGCCATGCATCTTCGCCATCCAAGCGAGCATGGCAATAGCAGCTCGGTTTGCACTGGTGCACTGGATCATCAAAGGACGAGGCAGCCGGGCAATGCAGCTAGCTAGCTCCTCAACGACACTGGCGGGCAGGTCGTTGCTTGGCTTGAAGGGCATGACCTCCAGCTCACAGCCCGCTGCCTGGATGGGTGCAGGGAAGTAATGCTGATCCGAAGTCTCATTCAAATACAGCCATCCCCTGCAGTGGCTCGCGAGCTGTCCCACAACATCGGAGGGCAAGTTGCCACTGACCAAGATGTCTCCAGGCAGCGCAGGTCGGCGGAGCGGGAATCGGGCCTGCATGTTCTGGAGCGCTTCAAGCTTCACCTTGTCCTGAATAGGTGCGCCGGCAGAGCAGCCCATGGCTGACAAGAAGACTACACGAAACGACGATCCGTGACACTCCTGATCCAGCTCTCGAGCCGTGTCCATTTTCATCAGCAGGTTTCCGGCTTAGTGTTTAGTGGTTAAGTTGCGGCTGCTTGACGCAAGTTGGGTAATTACCGAAATCCGCTAGGTGCTTGAGGTGTGCTTGGCGAAATCGGAACAACCTCCCAAACAAGCACAACCACCGTAATTTCCACGCGCACATGCATGTTCAACAGCTGGATTCCGCATATCGTAACCAATCGTCCTTCTCGTCGCCGCTCTCGCCCGACATGTCTACGACCAGTAGCCGCGCCTGCATGCTTCCAGGACGTGGGGACTGTCACTTTTGAACCCACGCTCTGCCAGTCAGAGGGCACGACAGGCTTCCCTCCGGAGCAGTACAAAGCAGAAGATACCTACAGCCGAACCGCCCGCTAGCTAATGTGAGGCAGAATGTGAAAAGATTCGTTCGAGAGCGTGGGGTGAAGGTACAGATAAAGCTGAACGGATTCCTACTGCACTCGAAGCTGTCAGGGAGAGACAAAATATGAACTTCACAGGTTGGAAGTTTGGAGGCCATGCTCCAACTGTGCTAGACCCTTTATAACCCTTTGATCGAAACAACAGCCGGGATTCCTTGACCTTTAAACCCTGAGTCCGTGCCTCCGATTCAGTGGGGATGGGCGGCTGTTCAGCCGGTAACTCTTCGGGGCCACGGGGAATCTGCTCCTCTGGCAGTGCTTCTGCTGACCCACCGGTGTTCGCTGAGGTCTCTGCTGGCGCAGTCTGCACTTCCGTCGCCACGAATGCGCACTCCCCAGCCTCATCTGGCTCTGGGAAACGATCCGTCTCCACCTCTACGTTGGCCTCAGTTGGCTGCTCGTCTTGTGCTGCACTGGGGGTGTCCGGTACTCCCGGGGGCTTCTGCATCTCTTGCCCGTGCGGTTCTTCTGCTTCCTTGGACAGTAGCTCTCCTTCTTCGTCTGCCTTTGAGAGGCCAGCCGCTTCCTCTTCCTCTTCAAGCCTTTTGGCTTGGGCCGCCTCCACAGCTGCTTCTAGAAGCTGTTGAATCTGGGCTTCAGCGGATGCATCATCTGTCGCTTCCTTGGCGAGCTGCTCCCAGTCTGCCTTCGCAACAACTTCCGCAGCCTCTTTTGCCAGGCGGTCCTCTTCATCCTGCTGAGCTTTCTCAGCTTCAGCCGGGTCTGCCTTGTCCTTGGCAGGGAGCTCCCCTTCAGCTGCCTTGGCTTTCTCAGGTTCGGCGGCCTCTGTAAGTGTCGTAGCTTTGTCCACCTCGGCAGCATCTGCCGTTTCCTTAGCAACCCGCTCCTCTTCGCCTGTCAGCGCTGCTGTCGCAGCTTCACATGCTAAGCGCTGCGCTTCCGCTTTCACTGCAGCTTCCGCAGCTTCTTTTGCTACAGCATTCACCAAGGCTTCCGCAGCCTCTCTTGCTACGCGTTCCTCTTCAGCCTTCCTCGCTTTCTCTGCTACTGCTTTGTCTGCAGCTTCCTTGGCGGCACGCTCGTCTTCAGCTATCGCTGCAGCCCCTTCTGCTGCGCCCTCCTCTGGAGCCTTCTTCGATTGCTCTGCTTCGGCGTTGTCCGCAGCTTCATTGGCGGCACGCTCCTCTGCAGCTGCCGCTGCAGCTTCTGCGGCCTCTTTTGCTACGCGCTCCTCTTCAGCCTTCTTCGCTTTCTCTGCTTCGGCTTTGTCTGCGGCTTCCTTGGCGGCACGCTCCTCTTCAGCTTTCGCTGCAGCTTCTGCAGCCTCATCTGCGACGCGTTCCTCTTCAGCCTTTTTCGCTGTCTCTGCTACTGCTTTGTCTGCAGCTTCCTTGGCGGCACGCTCCTGTTCAGCTGCCGCTGCAGCTTCGGCAGCCTCATTTGCCACGCGTTCCTCTTCAGCCTTCTTCGCTTTCTCTGCTTCGGCTTTGTCTGCGGCTTCCTTGGCGGCACGCTCCTCTTCAGCTGCCGCCGCAGCTTCTGCCGCCTCTTTTGCTACGCGCTCCTCTTCAGCCTTCTTCGCTTTCTCTGCTGCGGCTTTGTCTGCGGCTTCCTTGGCGGCACGCTCCTCTTCAGCTGCCGCTGCAGCTTCTGCGGCCTCTTTTGCCGCGCGCTCCTCTTCAGCCTTCTTCGCTTTCTCTGCTTCGGCTTTGTCTGCGGCTTCCTTGGCGGCACGCTCCTCTTCAGCTGCCGCCGCAGCTTCTGCGGCCTCTTTTGCAACTCGCTCCTGTTCGGCCTTCTTCATCGCTTTGTCTGCTTCGGCTTTGTGGGCAGCTTCCTTAGCCGCACGCTCCTCCTCAGCTTTCTGGGCAGCCTCCTTGGCAAGACGCACTGCTTCTGCCTCCTTGGGCTTTGAAAAAGCAAGCAACAAGGTAATTACATTATAATATAGGGGCCTCAATAATTGGGGCCCATTATATCTATAATTGTCATAAGGAACACCAAAATAATATATGTAATTATTCAGTTCGCGACTTCCAAGCCAGGCTACTCTCGTACATGAAACGATTCAACCCTCTGCTTCATGAAAGATTTGCCAAACACTCGAAGACCCCAAATCATGAAAACCCTTAAGGAGGTAGGGGGGGGAAGGTAGGGGGCCTAATGCCCATAATAAGGACTTGAGAAGGCCAATTTGAGGAAGGATAGCCCCCCTCCCCCTTTTCGCCCCCAAGGGTCCCTCTGACCAAGCCCCCGAAATCCGACCTGTGTGCATGAAAGGCACCTTCCGGTGCTGATCCAGCCGCGTCCTTCAACGTTGAGAACGGGTTGGCGAGCCGGTATGTAATCTACAGCGCCCCTGCCCCCTCTAAGCATATGGGGGCCTTAATAGTTATAAGCGAGCTTGGGGAGGAGACAGTATGATAGTGGAATACATAGGGACTATAGAAGAGAGACTACAAGGGCACATACTGGCCAACCAGCGGCTGCAACAACTGCGACTCCCAAGGGCAAGAGCACACGGGCTGCTGTAATAGTAGCCCTTTGTATCATTACATCTTCTAAGTTTCACAATAGCGCTGTAGTTCAATGCAGTTTTTGCGTCAGGCCTTGTGCCCTAAACCCTGAACCCTCAGGGCCATTATGAGGGTTACAGGGTCTTTCTGCCTCGCCCATCTCTGGAGTACCAGCACCGCCCAGGTCCGGAGGCGCCTTCGATGCCGTTTCCAAGTGACCTGTCTGCACTCTGCTTGCTTTGCTTCCTACCTAGCAAGGACGAAGCCCGCACTGCAGGGTACCATTAGGGTGGGGTTCAGGAATGTTTTTTGCCACCCGCCCAGCTGAACAATGTCGCAACGCAGGGAACTCGTTCGAATCTGGTTCAGGATTTAGGATTTAGGGTTTGGGGTGTAGTTTAGGGTTTGGTATCGACTCGCACACAGGCAGGCACGGCTTCGTGAGGTCGAGATTGCTACTGTGACATGTAGGCGACGCAACATGTTCGCCCCTCCCCTGCCAAAAGCGAACTAAACAGCACCTCCCAGCCGGTCACCTCTCAAGCCACGCTTTGAACACATGGAGATCCTGTTGTAACAGTTAGGCAGCGAGCGAACCGGCTCGCACTCCTACTTTTACTGAATCACTTGGAGGTCGCGCGGTTTGCCCGGAACGGCTTCTTATCAGTTGACAGATTCAAGCTGAACATCTGCTAGGTCAGTCCAGCCTGAATGGTCCCCGCAGCAGTGGCTCTGCGTCTCCGCAGGGCCTGTTAGGCATCACTGATTGCCATGCCTCTCCGAGAATATTACAGCTACCATTATCAAGATTTATAGTGCCATTATGCTTACCATTACTATACCTCTTGTCCCAAATACCAACTAGTAGGCCACGCCCACCCCTCAGCTAACCTTAACAGCCTTAACAAACGAGTCATGGACACCCTTCCCGAAACAAACTGATTCTGGTCAGTGCAAGATCATATCATCAACATCTATCCCGTTGTACACTGTTGATCCCTTCAAAGACCACGCTTACCTGTCTTAAATTGAAGGAGCCGTTATACGATTCCTACATTTGTTGCTAAAGGAACCCCAAAATTCTTTGCCTGAAAAGGAAGTTCTCGACTTTGAATCACAGCCTCCTCCTCCTCCTGCCGCAGATCCCGGAAAGCGCCTTGGGATTCCAAGCGCGGGCTTTTTACCCCTCGCAGAGATAGAAACGATGGGTTGTGGCGTGTAGCATTCGCGGTTGTTTATGATCATGGTCTTGTAGGGTTCGGAATGATGTTTCAAAACGGGCAACGCAAAACCCGGGGGTCGAAATAGGGTTGGGATCATTCGGGACGAAGATACAATACGAGCTGGCATGTTGCGCCGCTTGGGCTCTTCAGCTCAGAACCTCAATCCTCAAGAATCCGGATCCTGCCCCAACACACCCTAAACTTACAAGCCGGAACATTCAGCATAAAGCCCAGAAGCTCAAAACGATCCCAAGAACTTAACCCGGACGAGGCGCGATCATGCGGTAGAGCTCCCTCTCGCCGAGTCTGCTGCTGGCTAGCCACTCCAGGCCCGACCTTCGACAAAAGGCTCCGGATTCGTCATCATTTGGAGGTTTCTGAGACATTTCAACTTTCAAACCCTTTCCCAAGCTCAGGGTCTAGATTGGAGCCCTCATTCTGAGGCCACAAAAACACACACACACACAAAGAACAACATAAAAAATCTCGGGTTTCCTGGCCTGCAGGTCTGAGGGTCAGGCCAACCTTCGATTAAGAGCCTGTAAGAGCGGGGCCGGATCCCGGGTAAGATTGAATCGAGCTTAAGATCTACATCACATTGGATTACAGGGCCTCTATGAATTGGTCTCAATGTGCTGCTCCCCGGTGATTTAAGTCTCAGCTCCAAGGTCCTTGTCCCAGGGAGGTACCTGTAGCCTCCAAAGCCGGCCATCTTAAGAAGGAACCATACTCTCTCTCTCTCTCTCTCTCTCTCTCTCTCTCTCTCTCTCTCTCTCTCTCTCTCTCTCTCTCTCTCTCTCTCTCTCTCTCTCTCAGGCACTCGAAGCGTCAGGCCTGGTCGAAAAAACCATACTAAACCCTGAAAAGGTGAGTTTTTTCAGGGTGCAGCTAGGTCAGCTAGGTTCAAGGCATTCAGCAACACGTGTCCCTGACGCGCTTCAGCTCCGAGACCCCTGACAACACAACAACAGCAACCGCCGTCGTCACGACGACACCAGCAACAAAAACAAGTGCGAAGTCAACTGAGCATGAAAAGAGCTACCCTAGCAAACGGCCAGAAGTGGACGTCCGAATCACCCTAGAACCTCAAGGCACTAAAACCCTCTACACCTATCATACTGCAAACCCCAATACAATAAACCCTAAAAAGCCTCGACAACATCTCAAAATCCCAAACCCGAAACGGTTCCGAGCAGCTTGGGCGCCGAGGTTGGGCAAGCTACGGCGAGGAAGCCCTGACTGAGACCCGTGACGAGTCACCATCACTGCAATGAACTGGGTTTAGGGTGTTTAGCGTTTAGAGTTTCGGGTAAAACCATCTAGCATTTTTCGTAGTGGCATAGCATGACGCAGAATAGAATAGACTAGACTAATACGGCACAGTATACTCTAAGAACAAAGGGTATGATGAACCATACCATCGGTTTGCCCTCTTGTTCACAATTCGCAGTCGGCTGAGAAACAGGAGCTGGAAAAAGCAGGCGGGTTATGAGCCAGGATTCTGCAATGTCCTTGCCATCACCCAAGTTTTCCCCTCCGGCAGCCTTATTTCTTCAATGTGTCGTGCACTGGTTGCGAGAGCTATAGTATGACGACCCCTGGTAGCAATGCAACCAACCGAGCACAGGGCAATCTTGATGGCACTCATGATAAACAAGGATAAACATGCAAACCAACAATGTATTCATACAGGTGCCGCTTGGAGTTGAGTGGGTCAATTATTTCGGGCTGTGCCTGGAGTGAAATACTCATGCTGCAAGAAACCTCTGGGTATCTCGTACATCCGAAAAGTCTCGGCGTGGATGTTTTCTATTTCTCTTGAGCGCCTCGTGAAAACCCCAAGGACTCTTGAGGGGGTCGCAAGCAAATGCAGAAAATGAACCGAACGCTGTCACCCTGCAAAGCACGCACGGTGCAGTACGTAATTGCGAACCCTAAAAACGGTAATCCGTGCTGATATAACACAAGGACCCTGACTACCTAAACCTTTAGCCAAGACCACTTCCAACCTAAAGCCCGCACCAAAGCCTTATGACATCTTGAGAGCCACCTGACATTGCAATAGGGCCTTAATAATTAGAATAGTGTTTTGGATATATTAGACTACAAGTAATCACAATAAGGAACCCTCCACAACAGTCATTATTTAGGCCCCTGTAGTGTATCACCTGCCTTGCAGGTCTCGGTCCGCCGCCCCGCGAGGCCGTGGCATGCGGCCAGGTATCGACGGCCTCCGTCGACCGGCTTTGCACAACAATTGCTGTTGCTGTGGTCTTCGACTTGCATGGTAAGCTTAGGGCTTTAGGGTTTCGACACGCACACTCGCTGACGCAGGCAGGGCTTCGAGGTCCCACTGCTACCGTTACTACCGTGACAAGCCACCATGCGCAACAGCAAGAACATGTAATAGGAAGGAGGGAATAAACAGCCAAGGACCGAAGCATGAATAAGGATGTTACACATGGCTGGCTGTCAGGACGCTTTCGTCCGGCTTCACGCCATGTGTTATGGCACGTCGCCCTAATGACTGCACCCCCGGCTATTTCAAGACATGAGCTGTCTCATCACTGTCTCCACGAGTATATGGCATCTATTCGCTCATTGGCTGTTGCACTCATCGAGGTGTCCCAACTAATGCAGGATGCCACTGTAAATATGTGCCCAAATTCAGAAAGTTGTCCAAATTCCATGCAGTTCAGCCAGGCCATGCAGTCACTCGGCAGGCCATGAATATCCACGCACATGCATCCCATGCAACAAATTCGACGCACAAACATCCTGTCACGTATGTGTCCCTGTGGTCCTGGAGCTGTTCGATGTCCTACATGCGTTGGATGTCCACACGGTCTATGCGGGTCCGGCTGCAAACGGAGTCCACATGTTGCCCACAACCGGCAATGGCACCAGTCCCAACGAGACACCCCTGTATGGCCCCCGCTACCAGCAGAGCCCAATTCGTAGAAGGCCCACACACTAGTAGGTGTCACAGTCTGGCCATGAGGTCGTCACTCATTTACAATGCAGTATTGCTCCCACAGTTGTCACACGCATGGCTCCCATTGTCCAGCATCCGCAGAACTACCGAAAGCCCCGGAATCACTCAAGGAATCCCAGCGGTGTATGCTGCAGTCAGGGCCAGCAAAGAACCACTTATGCCTGTGCACAGTCAGAGTGTGTGGTATCAAGGCAGTTTACTGGCTCCAGCTCCCTGCGTGCAGTGCTGCTGCAGAGTCTACTACCATGGCGGCGCAGGCTTTACAGGGGTATAGAGGCAACGATTTAATCGCCGATCCCGGATTGATCACAAGTTACTTCACACAGAGTTGGAAGTGCGCGGCAAGACCTCAACGTCGGCAGCTGCAGGAGCAACCCATACACAGGCAGGCAGCGCCCCGCATTGTTTTGTTGTGGGATAGCGCGAGGGCGGAGCCCATATCAGTGAACCGCATCACAGTGACTGCCACATGTCAGCGTGTATTGCAGCGCCTCAGAGCCGTGTTGCTCATGTACAGCACTCAAGCTCCGACATGTGAACAAGACATGGCGCAAGGTGTCATGCAATGTATACATGTGCTGCCTTGCGGTACACACATGAGCACGTGTTCAACACTTAGGCCGTCTCCGCTGTGGCATAATCGCCCACTGTTCGGGTCCGGTCTCTTTATCTGCTCGGAATCAGGATCGATGTGGTAGACCAAGCGTCCACAGACTTCGTGGTGCACATGTTCACATTGGTGCGGGTGTTGAACTCGGCCGCGAAGTGGGCCGCGGTGGCCAGGTAGTCGCAGCCTTCCTTCGGTTTGATGATGTACCCCAATGAGCAAGTGCCTGCCGTTCGTGATGAGCGTGGCCTCGTTAACAGAACGGAGAACATATCGGCTTGCTGAACTGGCTGGTGTGCCCAAGCAGACCTGCTGCTCCTTCCCGGTCTCAAAAGCCTCTAGGCCAGGGGGCGGCCGAACTGGCTCCTGATGGACTGTCGGGTACTTCGCGGTCACCTTTTCCCCATCCGGGGCAGTGCCAGTGGCAATCGGCTTCACCTCACCGCAACTTCGAGTTCGTTCAGGATTCGGACGGGGCACCTCCAATCCAGCGGGCGTTGCCCATGCGGGGCTGTCCTCGCGACCCTGGAACATTGCCATTGCCTCGGTATGCAGGCCCACTGCCGCGCAACTCAAGTGGCAGTGTCTTGAGCCAAAATGGCTAAGGTTTAGGGTAGGTAAGTTTCCGCTGTTGCTGTACTACCTGTTGAACATTATGCACTGGTCAGTCCTGTGCTACTTGTGGTAGTTATAAGGGCCCGTAAAGTACCTGCCGTTGCCTCGGTAAGTTCGCGGCAGCCGCTGCGCTGCTCGCCTGGGGTGGGCCTTCCACAGCGGTAAACACAGCCATCTAGCGCCGATGATTCTTAGCTGCTGGTGTTACTGCTACTGCTAGCGCTGATGCTTATGCTTCACTACTACTACTACTACTACTACTACTACTACTACTACTACTACTACTACTACTGCTACTGCTACTGCTACTGCTACTGCTACTGCTACTGCTACTGCTACTGCTACTGCTACTGCTACTGCTACTGCTACTCCGACTCCACTCCCACGACTATCACGATTACGCAGCTGCCTCTACATCAACTGCTACGACGACGACGGCGACGAGCTCCTCTGCTTATGCTTAATCTTGCTTCTACTTCCTCTGGCAAGCTCCAGGATCGCACAAACCCCTCAGCCTGCCTGCGGCTGCTGCAGTCGCTGTCGCTTCCGCCCTTCCTTGTTGACTTTGCGACATGCAAGATATGGCTGTCTAACACTCTACCACAGTGAAGGCAGATGCGAGCATGGAGATGATGGATTAATACAACACCTGCACAGCATGTCGCTAAATGGCTTGGGCATGTGAACCCCGACCCCCTTTCCTCTAACCTCGCCGAAAATCTCCAAGTGTGCAGGCGTGCCCGACGGAAAAAACTGGACATACATACTCTGCAACCTAGGGCCTAGCCCGTACACAGCCTGACAAGCTGTGTCACTCAGAGGCCGCCAGCTGAAAACAACTGACTGCAATCCACACGGAACTGGCAATGAGGATATTCACATTTCGAGCGCAGTCTTGTGAGACAAGTGCGATTCAGGACTCAATCTACAGACTACTAACCTGGAAGCAGATGTGAACTTCCTGTGATCATCTGTTGTTGAGGGAGACTTCGCACAACAATAGAACGATGATACAGCTTCATGTTGAGCCTTGTAACTCGAGGACGGCTTAAAATACACTGCTCGAAGTTGCGGAAAGTGCGAGTGCTTGGTGTCGTTTGTTCGTGCGTCCGTTCTTGTACTTGCTTGTTGAAATGTTTCCATGTGTCCTGGGTTGCAGATCACAACTTGCAAGTAACACATACACATACATATAGATGTGTGTCTGCACATACGTCTCTCTCTCTCTCTCTCATGTATGCATAAACAAATAATACACATCTCTGTATGTGTATACAGATATGTATATATATATATGCGTATGCAGAGGGCCGAATTTCGGTACATACTTACATGCATACATGCAGACAGACATGCAGACATACATACAGACAGACAGACAGACACACACACACACACAAACAAACAAACAGTGTCGCAGAAGCAACGGAGCTGCCCATCGGCATTGAGTAACAAGGCACTTGCACGGGCTTGTTCTGCTTGTGCCAAGACCATCTGGAGGCGCCGATGTTGTCGGTAGGCTCGCTGTATTCGTCGAGCAGCCTGCTAGGCACCGCGGGCTACTGTGAGCTTAACTGGCCAAGCCCGTTCCTAGTTATGTTAAGTCACCGGCCGCGTGTTTTCTCGCAATCGCACAACTAATCTCGTTTAACTTTCATGCACTATTTGGTTGGACCCTTCCACCGTCTGCATCTGACGAGGCCTAGGCCTAAGCGGATGCCCAGACTTGAATCCACTTCTTGCAACCAGCTAGAAATCTGCAAAGCCAAGTGGCCACGGGAGTGGCGTGGTTTGGTGGCATTCTGACACTCTGAATTGAGCCGGAGCCCAAAGCCCTAAACCCAAAGCACGAATGCCCCAAACTCCCCTATAGCAGGCAAACAAGCAACCTGAACATCAGCTGGTTATTTAATGACGTACATACACAGAAGGTAACGGCGTCATAGTTGAGTTGACCTTTTCGTTACAAACTAAAGCCCTTTTTGCAGCAGGCCTCGTTGTCCAGCAGCCCGGTTACAGCAAGAGCCCCCCTTTCCCCCGCTTCTTCAAAGCAAGGAGAGGAGTCGAACTGACACTCGCGACGACACTATCTGATACGACACTACCTTACTATACTGACTGATTGCAAGCCCTAAATTTCAAACCGCAGCCTTAAAGCCTCAATTGAACCCTACAACCTAACCCCAATCCCCAAGCCCTATAGAGCCCCCCTTTTCGCACCGAAAGACCCTAAACCCAAAGACCCACAACCCCAAACCCTATACTTACTGGAATCCTTGTTACTGCTCGGGCCTCACAGCGGCCAAAGTCCAATGCGCGTTGCAGCTCCGCCCCGAGGCGGCCATCGAAGAGGGACCCCTTGTGGGTATTTTTTGGTTGTATAAGGCGGTTTCCGAAAATAGGGGACCCCAGTATAGTACCTTATTTACTGGAATCCAAAATATAAGTACCCCAAAACAAGGTACCCCTAGTTTTCGGAATCTCCGATAGGGTTTAGGGTCCAAGGTGTTTCTTGTGGCTTTTCCAGGGTTCAGTGCCTACGCTCTCCGAGTGCTGGCTCAGGGTTCAGGCACTGCGATAATTCTCGTTCAGGGGTTTGTGGTTTGGAGGGGTTGGGGTAGCTATCTAGGTTCTGGAGACAGGCTTTAGTAGGATCGACCCAAGGTCGTTTCTTCAGCTTGCGATCTAGGGGTTCGTGGATTTCGGGTTCAGGGTGCAGGACTCCAAACGGTGGGTTCAGTCTTTACGATGTGGGCTCCGTCTTGAGATGCATCCAAGGCACCGAGTCTCTCCTCGTCTTAGAGCTCTGGCGGCTGAGCCTGAGGGCAATTCGGGTTTAGGCTTATTAGGGCCTTATTAGAGTTCAGGGCTACAAATGTTTCGGGGGCCTTGACTAACACGAAACCTTGGGCCCCCCTGCACACCGAGGTTCTGGAACGCCCAAGTCTCAAGTGCAGGGGCCGTCAAGTCAGAACTTGCCCCAGGCACTTTTCCGTTGTGCCGAGATGCCCTGGCTCAGGGCCGGCTCCTGCCAGATTCAACACGGATTAGCGTTTAGGGTTTAGGGTCTTCATCCGGGTCTTCATCTCAAGTTTTGCTAGATCTGTTTGGTTCACGGCAACAGCACCACAAGGAAACATGCTATACAGTAGCTGTCAGAAGGCGCACCATGGAAGCCTGATCTAACGGCTTTGGCCCCGCATCCTGATGCAGGGCACTTTCAAGAATAAAAGATTACTGCCGGTGTTCGAAAGTTTGTCGGAAGTGCCCATGCAAGACGTAAGACTTCAACAATCAGGCTTAGCGCAAAAAGGTGGCGGCAGTTAATAATATCATAAACGGCCCACGGCGCGGGAAACTCCACATGATGACCGAACCTCTGAAACTTCTGAGGACACCCTTGCACCTCTGAAGCTCGTAGAAGAAAAGCACAATGACGACACTTGCAAGCCTTCGCAGTCGACGGCTTCAACAACAGTACTAATACTCACGATAGTAGCACCATGAATAGTAAACATAGCTCACGGCAATACTAGACTCTACATCCGATTCTACTTGGCTAGGAAACCAGGTTACCCTGTCTTTCACCCCAACTGACAGGCTTCCGACCGGAAGCCTGGCAGTGGCATCAAAGCTGCCATGCAATTCTGTGGCTGCATCGATCACGTTGTTGAGAATGCAACGTCATTTTGGCCCATAACCATACATGAAGGACAAGAAAGGAAACAGTATGACCAACAAGCATTCCGAACCCTATACCAAAAAACTGGGATCGGCCTTGTCCTCCCTTAGCCTCTCCGGTCTCCTCGGCCTTACTTGGCGACCTGAAGAGGGACCAATAGATTTTTGAATGCCGCGTAGCTGTTGTTCCACGACATGTAGCTTCGATGTCGTAGCTGAAAGATGAAGCCGGAGACATCGAAAACGTCTGTCACGCTACTCAAGCCCGGGGGAGTATACACGACTGTTCCTGCCCAAATAAACGACAGAGACAAACACGACAATCTCCACAGGGAAAGAGACGCTCCTTCTCTGCAGCTTCTCATGTCGCAGCTGCAGCAAGCTCTTGCATTGAGGGCCCAATCACAGCCATCCGGCAATTGGTAAAATTGGCGGCTGGCGTGCTGCTGAGATGCTGTGTCTGGTTCGCCTTGCCTCACACAACGGAGACAAGTCTATATGGATCATGCTGGAACTTCGCACACATTGCGGGATAATGTCAAATACATCCATTGAGGCTCGGATTGAACTTTCTAGCTTGGAACAACCTTGCACCGGTTACCTCAACTCCACACCGAAGGCTCCGCCAGCTTTCAGTTGGAGTCTGCGGAGCAAGCGGGCAGTACATGGGTGGTCAAAATTACGGTTCCTTTTGGGGGTCCTTATTATAATACGGCACCTAATATTTAAGGTACCCAAAAAGGTACCCTAATTTTGACAACTACCCACATCCTTCCTCTTGAACCCTGGGCCCGAGTCCAGGCAAACAAGAAAACAAGCCGTTGTGCCAATGTAGGAAGCTGATTAGGAAACCCTGGGCCTAGAACCCCCCAAATAGTAGGATTGATATGAGGATCCGTCATAAAGGCCGGGTCTTTAACCGGGTTCTTAATATGAACCCTACCTAATTTTGGGAAACTTGGAAGGTGGCCTGCCTTCGGGTTTTGCAGCTTCGACTTGGTGAAGCGCAAAGCGCATGTGGCTTGGAAGCGCCTCGGTATGAAACCGTAAGCTTCAAAGCTTAGGGTTTCGGGTTTAGGGCGGTTTAGGGTTTAGGACGGTTTAGGGTTTAGGCGCCAAGCAATAAGACAGTGATGTCAGGCTGGGAGACCTTGACAACCAACAAAGTTGGCATGCTACATGCGCCATAAGTCCAACCAGGTTGCGGGGGTCGGCAGCGGATTCATCGCATCCTCCACTGACGATGACGCCGAAGTAGCACTCCTGAGCCAGATCCCGGGTGCGATCCCGATTGCAATTGGGCCGCAGAACCTTTTCCTGTCATAAATCTGTGCAAAGCGCATGGAAAGTCTTGTTCTCTGCGGATGTCGCACTGCAATCGTCCGTGGCACTTCAGGCAAAGAGGCACAAATGTGGTGTGCTGCAGATAAAACTAAAACTCCAAGGCTCGACTCGTGCCACTGAATCCTTGGATGACACGAAAAACATCTCCACATAACATAACATATGTTTGAAATATGACATGTAATTTATGACTTATACTTACTTATACTCTAGCCTCAGCATATAACAAGATGTACGTGCAAACAAACAACATGTGTATATATATATATGTATATGTATGTATATATATATATATATATATATATATATCGCATCAAGATCGGCACTTAAAGGTGGCGGCGCAGACCCGTGACATCGAAAAAGGATGTAGAGGCTAGTTTCGCCGATGTTTTCGGACGTTTGGGAAAGGCAAGCACAAGCAGTGGACTCGCTGTTAAAGACGATTAGTTTCCAGTTGCATGAACAGCAGCAGCTGAAACCTAAGTCCTAAGTCATTGGAGATTTCCGAGGCAAGATGGAGTTCAGTAGGGGATCTTTGCAAAAGATATGCTGCTAGAGATGTATGGCCAAAGCAAGAGGTTTCAGAAAAGGATCTTCGGCAACCGGGCCTTCTCTTTGGGAAGCCAGTCTGCGGCTTCCGAGGCTTGCTCCTGGGCCTGTGAAAAGGGTGCAGTCGTGTAGCCTTTCTCTTTCTTCTTTAGTTTGAGATCTTTCAAAAGCTTTTGTGATTTTGGGAAGGCGTTTCAAGCTTCAAGCTTTGGGCCTTAAGCCTTATGGAGTACTCCCGATGCTCCCAATCACAATCCGGCACCCTGAACCCGATTACATGCTGGGTGCCCGATGCTCCCTGTTGCCACGCATCTCGAAACCAACACCCTCAACCCTTCAACTAGGATACCCAGTAACCTAAGAATAAAAAGGCCTCTCTTTTTGGTATTGGGTAACTTTATAAGGAACCTAGGACTACAAAAAGGGAATAAGGGTACTACTGGGCATCCTAGTCAACCCTAAAAGCCCAACTCCCGACTTCCAAGACCCTCGTTCCAAACCCTATAACCCCCCAAAGTCGACAACCCGTGTGCCCACAACCCTGAACCGCAACTCCGGCAACCCCTAAGCGCAAACTCCTTGCGTTAATATAGAAGCCTGACTGCTCAGTATTACTGCTTTTCAGGTTCCTTACTATAATCGCAATAGAAAAAGCGCCCAAGCCCTGCTGTAATAACGGAGGCCCCCGTATGTGTACATGCATGCATATATATATATATAGAGAGAGAGAGAGAGAGAGAGAGAGAGAGAGAGAGAGATATATATATATATATATATATACATACACACACATACGCTCATGGTAAACCTCTGAAGCCTCTCTGTAAAGGAAACGTTTTCCAATTCTTACGGTTACTGCCCTGAACTTTCGGCTTGCATATTACTACCCTTTCATGTAAAGTAACGCTTATAGACTCACTACACTCATACCAACTCTAATCGAATTCCCAAATCCCAAGAGATCTATATAAATCCTTAGTGTACTCAGGCCCTAACCCCAAAAGAAGCCACGTCGCTGAAAATTCGGCCTCTATTTTGCTACCCTCATAGTAACCCTCACAGGAACCCTTACTTTAAGACTTACTACATCTTACTACCCTTATAAAGGCGAAACCCCGAAAGAGACCATGCCCCTGAACTCTCGGCCTCAGGCTTCAGGAGCTTGGCCAGCTCTTTGCTCAGCAAGCTCCGGTCCTTCGATGCCGGCACAGCACCTGGATAAAGTAAGATGATTCTTCGGGTGATACGGGGCTTATAGTGGGCCGTAATAATCAGTTAGAGCGGGGTGTTGGGATATGCTATCGTATACTCATACTAAGGAGCCTTAGAAAGAGCACTTGGCACACTAGAGTAGCGCGGCAACACTCTTCTTCCTATGCTGATGAAAAATATGGGCAATATCATGGCGATGGCCATGCGCATGTACCTACGCAAGGTGCTTACAATATGTCTACACTCTTTCATGCGCTGTCCAACAAGCCCAACTGCAAGCTCAATCCTGAGGTCGAGGTCGGTATTGGAATGTTGCTCCCCTCCCACTCTAAACCCTGTTGCAACTGGCTTGCAACGTCACGCGAGGACAGCTGCCTCGCGCCGGGCAAACCCCACTCTCAGGTCGTCTCAGGGCAGTTTCTTTGTGACCCTGAGAACAGCCGTGTTGCTGTACAGTGCTGACAAAGGGACTGGGAAACAGCATCAGTCTCTTACTACTGCTCGCTATAAACCTAATCGTTATATATAGAGCACCTCGCTGTAGTGCCAGGTGGCGCGAAGATGAGGAATCACGCCGAACTTGAGACCGAGTCACCTCAGACGACGGATAGTTATGTATGGATTGAAGTCAACAAAGACTTAACATTAGTCCTGCGTGGACTTTCTGCTTCAAGGTTTTGTCAACTCACCTTGACACTTCCAAAAGCCAGATTCATCACATGACGAATATCCAGCCCCAACATCAAGCCAATGCAACCATGCAACTGCACAAGCACCGAATCCCCTGCTACTACTATCGTCGCTAGCAGCACAGTCTTCCCATTTTCTCAATGCCCGACCTCTAAAACACCAGAACCCAAAAATATCAAACCGGAAACCCGCCTCTGAATCCCATCGCCCATCACGAGCGCGTGCTGCGGATGCGGGTCGCCGTCGCCCTGCCTGCATGGCCGGCAACCCGGCTCGCAGCAGCAGCAGTAAAAACACACGATCCTCGTTCGGCCTAGGGAAATCATGTATACCGGCAGATCACCATCCCAGCAGCCGTGGCAAAGAATGCATGAGTAGCAGTGTCACATCGCCAGAGAACATGCTACGTATGCTTAGACAAGCTACCGAAACAACAAGAGCCGTCGTAAGGATAGACCCTGAACCTTTGTTGCAACAGGGAAGGAGACAACCTCGCATATACGATACAAGGATGCATCGTGCTCCGGAAGTTTTGACATGGGCTCGGGTCAGGTTGGGATCGAGGCCTGACCCTTCCAGGCTTGGCGAAAATGATCGAAACAATGGAAATGTTAGGGCCGTGGATTGTAAGCTTCCGAAACCAATGCACAGATCTCCTGCCTGTCTCAGGGGTACTTGAGCAAGTCAGCGCAAACTATGATTGCAGTAGCGAGGGACTGAATTCAGCAGAACCCTTGGATCAACAGACTTCTGGAATTAATCTACGACGATTGGTCACCGCCATGAGTACGTCTCAATGCGAAACACATAAGTTTCCCCGTCGCCTGTGCTCTACACCTGACACCCTCGACATTGATCGCCTAAACCCAGCTCAGACCCGAATTCGCAGGATCCGTGTTCTCAAAGCGGACCAGCACTTTCGGCAGAGAAGGAACGGTGGGATTCGACTCGGAACCTGGACTTTTTATGGTAGGCCGCGATCCAGGACGAGCGTCGAAACAACGTGGGGTATTGGACTAGCATCCCTCTTCTACACAGAAGAACCGGATGAGTGACTGGGATGCTGTGTCACCTGCGCTCTCTGGATCTGAGCCGAACCCCGACAGTACGCTCTCGCAACTCGGACAACCCCGACCGTAACGACGGCTGGCCTCTGCAGACTCGGCACGCTTGCCTGGACCTCGGAAAAAGCTTGTCGTCGCCGCTAGTTCCCATTGGAGTCTGGGAGATCTTACATTTAAGGGTACGTGTGTGCGCACAGCGTGCGCTTGCACAAAGATTCCGTACCCATATGTACCCATGTACCCAGACATGCACACACAAACACGCGTATGTCTGTGTATACGGGCACACCTCGTGTGCGTGTGTGTGCGTGATGCGTTATGTATGCAGAGGTGGCCCGATCTGCATGGTCGTTCTAATGAAATTATAAACCAGACGCATGTATACGGCGATAAAATCCATGCATCTGTCTTGTATGTGCACGTGCGTACATACATGTGTTCATGCATGTATGCATACATACATACATAATCTGATGCTGTAGTCTTCATGTTTTCTGTTGCCGACGGCTCATTATCATGACTACTTAGACGTATACGAATACACAAATTCAAGCCGATTTCTGCAAAGCCACCACGGGCTTCGATCGCAGAAGATGGGCGGCGGTTCGCCTCCACATGGACCACACCGCGAGCTTCGATCGCAGAGGATGGTCGGCGGTTCACCTCGGCAAACGACTGAAGTCGAAGCAAACACGAGTCCAGAGCCCGCTGTTTTCTTCCTAGGATCCATGTTAACAGTACATACGGTTCGTACTCAAAGCCTACCGACTCGGCTACTTCCAGAACCAGGACCATCAAGCTGAAGGATGAAGCAGCCGTGCCGCTGCTACGGTTGGGCATTTTGCGAGGCAGCGAAGGCTGCAAGTACAACCCTACCATCGCAAGGAAACTGGTGACTCGGACTGAAGAGGCTCTCGAAGCTTTACGTCGGCAGGACAGCAAGCAGCGACAGTGACAAGCTGCCTTCACGAGACCCCATGTCGCTTCGTCCGAAGCGTAGCTTTGCGAGGGATTGGATAACCGAGCATCCCCACACCCCAAGCCATTTGCAGAGGTCGCGCACCGTCGCACCGCCGCCAACTGAGAGGTACCGATTGCTGGAAGCAGTCGCCCTCAGCAGGATGTCAGCAGTCTGCAGGGCACGAAGAAAGCCTAACTGCTTAAGTGCATCAATAGAGTTTTGCGTACATGCATACAGTTACATACATACATGCATGCATGCGCGCATGTGTATATTATATGTCTATATATATATATATATAATTAATCTGACATAAGTATGCATAAGGAGGCAGAAAGAGAAAGAGAGAGGGAGAGAAGGAGAGAGAGAGAGAGAGAGAGAGAGGGAGAGGGAGAGAGAGAGAGAGAGAGAGAGAGAGAGAGAGAGAGAGAGAGAGAGAGAGAGAGAGAGAGAGAGGGAGAGAGACGGAGAGAGAGGGAGAGAGAGAAAGACAGAGATAGAGAGCGGGACACAAAGAGATAGAGAGACGCAAAGACAAAGAGACGGACAAAGTCTCTAGTTCTTCCGCCCCTGACTCCTCACTCAAGCTCCTCTTATGCCCACCTGCGCTCGACCGCCGTTTGCAAAGCTGTCCGATGTGAATCACGAAGACGCCTCGACACAGTTTGAGCTTCAAGGCTTGGGATTTCAACTCTTTGACTTTGAGGCATTAACTGGAGAGTTCAGCCACCCCATCACACGCAGCGCTCGATGTTCAGCCAAACTGTTGACAGGGTCCAGTGTATCTTGCAATGCAGAATGCAGCAATGGTTGCATGAATTCATCTGCGCTTGTGTAAGAATATCTAAGCTATCTACGAAACAACCTCACCCCACAAGACTATCTGATCCGTGTACCGGTTTCCGATGACCATTCCCGGTAAGCAATCCGTAGATTTCCCGGACAGCTGTCTCTCAACTCCTATCTACAAAGTATATACTAATTAGAAAGTCTTAACGCCTCCACCCTAAAACGCATTCTTCGCAACCCCTTATCATTGAACTCCTAAACTCACTTTTTGCCAACCGCTCTTATAGACGCTAAACCCTTCTTGGGGAGAGACACGTGGTTTTCCAAGCCCTCAATCCTGAGCCCTAACGTACTCATCTGAATACAGACAGGTGGCGCTAAGAGCTGGCTGTCCTTGGACATGTAGCCCTCAGCGAGGACGACGGCCTTCCTTGTCGGAGCTCCCAACATCAGATGCGAAGATTAGGGCTGAGCAGTGGGCAGGTGTTTACTATACGGCTTTTACGGTTTATAAGCGCTAAGCCGCTAAGGCTTTGCGGCTTTCGGGGACTTTGGTTCTTGGCTTCGAGTGCTTGCAAAGCTCGCACCGGGCATGGCGCGACCGCGATAAAGGGCTCAGCGCTTTGGGCGCATGGAAAGCAGCCAAGCAATCGTCCAAGCAGCTGCTTGTGATTCGCGCCTGTATGCATAAAACTCAAAAAGTGACTTCGAAGATGACATATGTTCTCCTTCTGACAAGTACACTTACTGTCCCTTTAGCTGCACCGTGAAGCCGTAGATTGTCAGACATACGAAGCCGCTCAAGGAAAAAAACGAGCCCTCCCCTGAGCCATGGATCTCGTAGAGCGCTAAACAATCGCTGCAGCCGAGGTATTCTCGCTGAACCTTGGCTTGTCACTGCTTGGAAGGATGTCACGCTTGTCAGCCGTGTAGAAGACGGTGCTAAAAGCTCAGCACATGAGCCGCACACCTCCACTGAGTGAAGACATGACTCCGTAGTGCAAGGGAAACAGCTTAGACTGCCATCGAAAACCACGTGGATGCGACTTCTTCGGGAGCATGTTGCTGGGCATGATTCGCAGGGTTTGTGTAGAGAAAGGGGCCTCTGTTTAGCGACAAGAGATTTTTGCGACGTCTGAAAACATCCCGACTTAACTGAAACGAGTATGTCAATTTATTGCTGGATTCCTGGTGTTTGCAGTTCTATCGTTGACTATGGCTACTAAACGCTAGTGCGTGCCAGACACAGCCAGATTGTTGTAGGCGACCGCAAGCGTAGAGGCCTCCCACAAAAGCTACGACATACGCGCTTCATATTCCCCGTCGGTCACAACCTTTTATGCCGCAGGTACGGTCTTGATCGAAGCAGCATGCACATGATCAGAACATCAGGATAAGATGCCCGACTGCTCAGGGGCAGGAACATCAGCCAACCACCCTCCCTGCAAAACCACAGCGTAACCAGCGAGAACAGGGAGCATCACCAGATCTGCTCTTGCATTGCATTCAAAGATAACCGACAACGGGCAAGCCCTGCGGCGACGAAGCATCAAGGACACGATTCAGCCTTATACGCACACATCTAAAGGGGTACAATCCCGCAGGCCGCGAACAAAAACCGCAAACCGCACGCAGACAGCCAGCATCAGAAGCGAAACCATGCAATATCGAGCACCAGGCGCGGATCGTGAGCATCAGCC